ATCTTTCGAAATCGATTAGTCTATTGTTATTATCCACAACTTTAATATTTTGATTATTTCAACAATTTCTCCATTAGATTCTGTGTTCTCATTGGCCAGCAGGGGGCGGCACATTTTTGTCGCAGGCTGTGTCCCAAATCGTGAAATCAATGTCTTCCCTTGCCATTCTCTTTTCCCCTATAGGTATTATTAAACGCTTTCCCTCCCAACTATTTATCTTATTTTCAACCCTATGTGGACCAAAACAGAACATTTAGAAAAAGGGGGGAAATAGCAGATGGTGCTGAACATTTTGACCATGAAAAGAAAACTTACCTTGCAAAAGTATTCATATCCAACATTTTGGGTTCATACTTACATGCAAAAGCCAGATCCCATCAGACTCCTGAAACTGTGCAGGGCAGGGCCTGGTTAGTGCTGTGATGGGAGACCTCTGGGAACACCATGGTGCCACAGTGTGATCATGTCTTTAGGCAAGACACCTAAACTACAATGAGTCTGCTGTGTGTGAATGTTTGGTGATGGGGGGAGGGGCCGATGGAACATATTGGTTACCTCTCTTCTGTCAGTGTGCCCCAGGGCAGCTGTGGCTACAACAGTACTTTATCACCACTGTGTGAAGGAATGGAAAGAATAATGACATGTGATGTGTCTTTGAGTGTTCAGAAAAGCGCTCTTTAAAAGCGATGCATTATTAGGCCCGAGCCCCAACCGGGGTAAGGGCCTATTGCTTTTCCAACGAGTAATGCCTGGGCGAAGCCCAGGTATTACTCGTTGAACTGTTTTAAGTCACAATCTCCGGGCACAGCCCGGAGATTGTGACCTGCACGCGACGGCACATGCCCAAGCACTGATAAATCCGTGCCGGAGGCACGGAATGGCTTTGTTCCTGCTCTAGTACACAGTGAAATGATTGAAGTCCTATTAAAGGGGGGTTCCTTCAACTGTTTTACGGACGAATGTCCGGGCGAAGCCCGGACATTCGTCCCCCAAGCCCGACGGCGCGTGCCCAGACACTGACAAAACAGTGCCGGAGGCACTGAATGGCTTTGTTCCTGCTGTAGTACACAGTGAAATGATTGAAGTCCTATTAAAGGGGGGTTCCTTCAACTGTTTTACGGACGAATGTCCGGGCGAAGCCCGGACATTCGTCCCCCAAGCCCGACGGCGCGTGCCCAGACACTGACAAAACTGTGCCGGAGGCACTGAATGGCTTTGTTCCTGCTCTAGTACACTGTGTAATCAATGGGGTCCTATGGGGGGGGTGGGTGACCTCATGATAGCGAGGTGATTGACGAGCGCGTCAGCGCTCGTCAATCACCGAGAACCCAATAGTTGCGTTCGTCTGGTCGTTCGCTTTAAAACGACGTATCATTTGTATTATAGGTTACTATGGAAACCTATATTGTTTTTGCTCGAAGATTTAAAAAGAAAATTCCTTATTTATTATTTATTTATTTATTTATTTATTTATTTTTTCTTCTGCACTTTGAACCTTAATTTGACCCCCTGAACATTGATGAAAAGTTGTGAAATTTTGCCCAAAATTCAGAACCCGTGAAAAATTAATTTTTTTGGTGTTTATTTTTATGGGACTAAAAAAATACCAGAACAGCGCCCCCTACAAAAGTCAGTTTACATTGCGCCTATGGGAGGGGGTCGAAGGTCAAGTTTGTCGTAGAGCCACGAAATTCGGTACACATGTTCCTCAGGCCAAGACATGAAAAAAAAGTTATTATGGCTCCGCCCCCTGACAAACAGGAAGCTCATTAATTTAATTGGAAAATGGAAAAATGAAAATTGATATTTTTCACACATGTCGGCTGGAAATTATCTCCTCCTCGGCCGTTTCACCGATTTGTCTCAAAATCGCTCCACATGGTCTAAACACATGTACCATCTATTATTGAATATAGAATTTGGATCAATTAAACGTTGTCCGAGCAGCGGAGCGGCAAAATGTGACATGTTTTTTCCAATTTTTGACAAAAGTAAATTTGCTCCCATTTGCACAAACAAAGCCGGATTTGCACCAAATTTTAATCCATTGTTCAGCTCCAGGGTCTAGGTCATTTGAAAGTGGAAATATTGAAATTGGCTCATTAGCGCCCCCTACAGACTATGTTAAAGTTTTACATGGGCTTTTTAAAATTTAGTTTTGTCAAAATGTTTGAAATTTTGCACATAATTCTGTTTTGTCATCTGGATTCAAAAAGTCAATGACAACATATGATTATTTTTTACCCTGTTGCCATGGCGACGACCAACACTCCCCTGTCTGTGTCTATGAGAAAATCGTTAAATCTCTGAAAAGTACACCTCGCTCAAACATCAAACCAGCCACGGCCGTTTCACTAATTTGGCTGAAAATCGCTCCACATGGTGTCCACACATGGACCATCAATAGTTGCATATAGAGTTTTAATTAGTCAAACGGTCTGAGCGTGACAGACCCCCAAAGTGTGGTCATTTTCATAGAGAGGTGTGAAGTTCCCATGTTATCCAATGGAGACTGTATGGACACACTCACAGATTATATGTGCTCCTGTTTGCACATTTACAAAGTCTGATTTGCACTAAACTTGACTCGGTTGTTCAACTCCTGGGCCTAGGTCACATGACAGTGTGAACAATGACATTGGCCCATTAGCGCCCCCTACAGGCTGAGTAAAGGTTTACATGGGGATACAGGTATTTAGGTTTTATGTTGTTTGATCTCATATTTGACCCACATAACAAACATAAAAACTCACCAAACTTTGCCACAAGTTTTTTTCAGGCATGAAGTGTATTATTTTGGTGTCCTTTGGTATAACACTAATAAAATGAAATTGTAGGGGGCGCTGTTGTACAACATTAAATGCCACCATTTGCACATACAAAGTCCGATTTGCACAAAATTTGAATTGATTGTTCAACTCTCGGGTTTGGGTAAACTGAAAGTGTAAATCATGAAATTGCAGCAATAGCGCCCCCTAGAGACTGAGTCAAGTGTTACATGGGGAAAATGAGGTATATCTTTTGAATAGAGAAACACAATCACTAATCATAGAAAGTAAAATTACACAGTGTCGCTCCCATCAGGGGGGTAGGAAAATGGCGCGTCAGCGCCACCTCCTTTGCGCGGTGCGGCGAGGGCCGTTAGATGCCGCTTGCGGCTTTAATTTCTTTCTTTCTTTTTTCTTCTGCGCTTTGAACCTTAATTTGACCCCCTGAACATTGATGAAAAGTTGTGAAATTTTGCCCAAAATTCAGAACCGGCGAAAAATTAATTTTTTTGGTGTTTATTTTTATGGGACTAAAAAAATGTCAGAATAGCGCCCCCTACAAAAGTCAGTTTACATTGCGCCTATGGGAGGGGGTCGAAGGTCAAGTTTGTCGTAGAGCCACGAAATTCGGTACACATGTTCCTCAGGTCAAGACATGAAAAAAAAGTTATTATGGCTCCGCCCCCTGACAAACAGGAAGCTCATTAATTTAATTGGAAAATGGAAAAATGAAAATTGATATTTTTCACACATGTCGGCTGGAAATTATCTCCTCCTCGGCCGTTTCACCGATTTGGCTCAAAATCGCTCCACATGGTCTAAACCCATGTCCCATCTATTATTGAATATAGAATTTGGATCAGTTAAACGTTGTCCGAGCAGCGGAGCGGCAAAATGTGACATGTTTTTTCCAATTTTTGACAAAAGTAAATTTGCTCCCATTTGCACAAAAAAGTCAGATTTGCACAAAATTTTAATCCATTGTTCAGCTCCAGGGTCTAGGTCATTGGAAAGTGGAAATATTGAAATTGGCTCATTAGCGCCCCCTACAGACTATGTAAAAGATTTACATGGGCCTAATAAAATTTAGTTTTATCAAAATGTTTGAAATTTTGCACATAATTCTGTTTTGTCATCTGGATTCAAAAAGTCAATGACAACATATGATAATTTTTTACCCTGTTGCCGTGGCGACGACTAACACTCCCCTGTCTGTGTCTATGAGAAAATCGTTAAATCTCTGAAAAGTACACCTCGCTCAAACATCAAACCAGCCACGGCCGTTTCAGTAATTTGTCTGAAAATCGCTCCACATGGTCTCCACACATGGACCATCAATAGTTGCATATAGAGTTTTAATTAGTCAAACGGTCTGAGCGTGACAGACCCCCAAATTGTGGTCATTTTCATAGAGAGGTGTGAAGTTCCCATGTTATCCAATGGAGACTGTATGGACACACTCACAGATTGTATGTACAAACAGGAGCACATTTACAAACTCTGATTTGCACTAAACTTGACTCTGTTGTTCAACTCCTGGGCCTAGGTCACATGACAGTGTGAACAATGACATTGGCCCATTAGCGCCCCCTACAGGCTGAGTAAAGGTTTACATGGGGATACAGGTATTTAGGTTTTATGTTGTTTGATCTCATATTTGACCCACTGAACAAACACAAAAACTCACCAAACTTTGCCACAAGTTTTTTTCAGATATAAAGTGTATTATTTTGGTGTTCTTTGGTATAACACTAAAAAAATTAAATTGTAGGGGGCGCTGTTGTACAACATTAAATGCCACCATTTGCACATACAAAGTCCGATTTGCACAAAATTTGAATTGATTGTTCAACTCTTGGGTTTGGGTAAACTGAAAGTGTAAATCATGAAATTGCAGCAATAGCGCCCCCTAGAGACTGAGTCAAGTGTTACATGGGGAGAATCAAGTTTACCTTTTCAATAGACACACACAATCACTAATCATAGGTTCAAAACACACAGTGTTGCTCCCATCAGGGCAGTGGGAAAATGGCGCGTCAGCGCCACCTCCTTTGCGCGGTGCGGCGAGGGCCGTTAGATGCCGCTTGCGGCTTTAATTATCATTATTGTTATTACTATTTTGTGTCTTTAAAACCATAAAAATGAAGATAATCTAACAGAATATTATGTAGTAAAAGAAAAATATGACAGAAAAGTGTGGAATGCAAAAGTATTCAGCCCGCCTTTCTCTGATCAGGTTTTATGCACCACAAGCTGGAGCTCAGTGTCTGGTGGCAAGAGTCGGAACAGAGTGTTTTCTTTGTCGGTGTTGTCCTGGATGATGTTGAGATGATCTGGATCAGGGGTCTCCACCATCGTCCAGGAGGCCCCAAGCCTCGCCTTGAGTGCAGAAGGGAGAACTGTATCCAAAGTACCCGACTACTGCCTCCTCCTGTGTTTTTAGATTTAGATAATTCCAGTTTCAGTTCAATCAATCAATCAATCAATCAATCAATTTATTTGAGCAGGTCATATACAGCAAGCATATACAGCAAGTGCTGTACATTGTGCCAATAAATAAGGTCATTATTCAGTAAACAGAAACTCCAAGCAGGCTACAGTAGGAAGTCTACTGTATACGCAGTACAAGTACAATATGTGAGTTAGCAGGTTTGGCTAGACTAGTGAGAAAGCAGAAGTTTCATAACAGATTTACAGTCCTTCTTCAACTTCATATTTTTTAAATACGCTTACCTTATACAGTCTTTTGAAATTCACTAATGAGGAAGTACATTTAAGACAATCCGTTAATTCATTCCATAAGTCCACTCCCCTTCGGGTAATGAACATGTTTTTTAAAGTAGTACGAACACGCTGTTTCTTAAAGTTCAGTTGGCCTCTTAGATTGTATTTTGAGTCCCTTTCAAGGAACAGGTTTTGTATATGGTTTGGAAGCAATTTGTTTTGAGCTTTGTACATGATCTGTAATGTTTTATATTCAACCAGATCTTCAAACTTCATTATCTTAGATTGCAGAAACAGCGGGTTTGTGTGCTCCCTATAACCAGTATTGTGTATGATTCTTAAAGCCTTTTTTTGCATGATGAAGATGTCTTTGAGATTATGTTTGTAAGTATTTCCCCATATTTTGGTACTGTAACTAATATAGGGCAGGACGAGCGTGCAGTAAACTGTGTGCGATGCTCTTGTATCCAGGAGATGTCTAGATTTCCTCATTATTGCAATAGATTTGGCTATCTTTTTTCTAACACTATTAATTTGTGGTTTCCAGCATAGCTTCTGGTCAATAATGACTCCAAGGAAATTATGTTCATAGACACGTTCTATGATTTCATCTTTAATCATTAGTTTGGGTTCTGTGGTAATTTTTTTATTTCCAATCACCATGAATTTGGTTTTCTTTAGATTAAGTGATAATTTATTGCTGTCAAACCAATCTTTAATTGGTTCTGGTTCCAGACACAGAGAGGACTGACTCCAGCTCCCAATGCACCACAAGTCATTGTATAAACTTGAAATATATCACGTCTTTCAAAGACCGGTGCCTTTTTTTCCTCTCAAAAACATCTTTACAGTCTGCTCCAAAAGTTGGCTCTTGACTCAGCGTCCCAGACGCTGTCAATGCTATTTTGGTTTGGACCAGCCTAGTTGCGAGAGGGGCCACTCGCAGCCATTTCGAAAAAGTCAGTTGGAGGTAAAAGTGCTAACACAAGGGTGGAGATAGTTACAGTCTGTGGTTCAAACACGAGGCAAATGCAATGATAAAAAAACACATAGAGCCGATGGTCCATAAGGGGCAGATGACCAATGTCCATAAATGCTAATAGATGTTAACATACAGAACTACAAAACTACAAGAAGCATTTTGAATTCTGCTTTCTGTACATTGAAAGTCGCCGTAACGCATGATCCGGTCGGAACGCTGCTTTAGAATCCATAAATAGTCATCTGTTTGTAGTTTTGAGCTCATTTCAGAATCGTGCCTTTGTCTTCTATACAGTCATTACAATACATTTTCAACTATTGGAATCTAAATATTGATTGATGATTCAACAGTTCGATTCTCTGATCAACTTTTTTTTTGTCTTCATCGAAAACTACTGTTGTGAATTAGGGCTGTACACGAATGAATTGATTTGAGTTAAAACTTTAACAGTGCAAACATTTTAACATGAGTATGATTCTCACGCAGGACATGCAGATAACCCTGTGGCTCAAACCACTCTACAAGCAGTTTTTTTTTTTTTTTTTTTTATTTTTTTTTTTTTTTTTTTATTTTGTTTTTTTTTTTTTTTTTTTTTTTTTTTTTTTTTTTTTTTTTTTTTTTTTTTTTTTTTTTTTTTTTTTTTTTTTTTTTTTTTTTTTTTTTTTTTTTTTTTGTTTTTTGTTTTTTTTTTTTTTTTTTTTTTTTTTTTTTTTTTTTTTTTTGCATTCTCCCTTTGCTTGTGTTAAGCTGTGTTCGAACCAACCAATGCATGGATGCGCGTTGATGGAAGCCCACCTGCATCTAGCGAATACCCACCGGGCCGCAACAAGGCTTCTGTATTGCCGCACAAAAGGGAATGCCACAACGTACAGGGCAATTCCTCACATGGTCCGGAAGTCACCGTCGACTTTGCATTGAAACTTGCCACAACGCATGATCATTCGCCAAACCCCGGTGATTACCAAGATGGTGCTCTGTTCGAAATCAATGGCTTGTGCTCACTGTTCAGTAGTGCAAGTGCCACTTAACATCGGGCTTCAAGGTAGTCACTGAAGTTAGTAATAGCTCCACCAGCTGGACCGAGCGTTGTAATACACCCGCATTTGGGCTGGCCCAGTTGAAAAAATAAACACTTCTGCACTGCGGGCCGTCTTCATACCCCTATGGCGACGATTCCAATCCACTTGGCCATAGCTAGTTTTGTGAAAATCATGAGACTGTAGGTCTCATCAGTTTTCTGTCTGAAAGGCAGATGAAGCTCTGGGGTCTATGGACCCTCCCTGCGTTTTTGAACCTCTCCTGGATACTCTCTGGCAGATGAGCTTCATACGATACAACGGACAGTGCCAAGGTTTGGTCATTTTTTACGTTGTGTTAGCAATTATCCATCCATCCATTTTCTTCCGCTTCATCCATTGCGTGGTCACGGGGCACCAGTCTAAGCAGAGACGCCCAGTACTTCCCTATCAACACCCCGCTTAACCGAGGGGACCCCAGGGCATTTCCCAGGCCAGCTGAGAAACAGTCCCTCCAGCGTGTCCTGGGTTCTTCCCGGGGTCTCCTCCCGGTGGACGTGCCCGGAACACCTCCCCAGGGAAGCGTCCTAGAGGCCTCCGGAACAGATGCCCGAGCCACCTCAACTGGTTCCTCTCAAAGTGGAGAAGCAGAAGCTCTACTCGCAAGCTCCTCACCCTATCTCTAAGGGAGCGCCCAGCCACACTGTGAAGGAAACTCTTGTAATCCACAATGTCGTTCTTTTGGTCATTACTCCACAGCTCATGACCATAGGTGAGGGAGGGAACGAAGAAGTGACCGGTAATCAAGAGCTTTGCCTTTCGGCTTCAGCTCCCTCTTTACCACAATGGTCCGATACAGCGGACCGCATCACTGCGCACTGCGTCAATCTCACGCTCCATCCTTCCCTCACTTGTGAACGAGACCCGAGATACGTTAAAGGTCCTAATATCACGCTTTTCTTCATGTTTCACACTCAATCCTATACACATGTGTGATATTAATGTGTATAATACACCACACCACAATCAAAGCTTGTGAGATTAGAGCCATCTCTTGTATAGAGGTGACGTCACCTCGACTCAACCGAGCTGAATCAAGAGAAGAGTTTGCTCCTCTGCCTGTGAGCCCGCCTCCCCCCGCCCGCACGGTGACGTAGCATCACGCTTTTGTCGTTTATCACCTGTACTTAGTAATTTCATACATATGGAATAAATGTTTTCCAACAATGACAATCCGTCACATTGAGCCCTATGTCATCGATGCACAATAGACCCTAGTTATTTAGTTACAGAAGTATACAGCGAGTTAGCGTCACTACTACAGACGTGTTTACGTGGGAAAACGTGTTTCCAGATCAGCCTTTGAGTAAGTCCAGTTCCATTGTCCCTGTAGTTCTGGAACAGTCTCAGTGAAGTGTCGCAGATGAACCGGTATTATAATAGATCCATGAGATGAACAGATGAAAAAAGTCGAGCCGCTTTCTTCCTCTTAGGACCAAATAGTGTGTCACATATTTACACCCATAACACACTTCATTCAAGTTGACGTGATCCTAACACTTTTAGTTGCTGAGAAAAGCATAAAACAGCAGCTCTATGTGGTGTCCGCGAGACCAGACCACAGACGCTGGACTCGGGAGCCGGAGCCTGTGCGCTCTGATTCGCTGTTTTGATCCGTCAATCACCTCCCGCCGGCTTTTAATTTATTTTTATTTTTATTATTTTTGACAAAAAACAGCATACTAATTGTGTATTGTTTACCCCGTTTTGACAAAAGTATTTAACAACTATTTTAAATACAAAGCAAACGGGTCATGCGCGTCATCAGTGTGGTTTTCGTCACTGAAGTGGACCCGAGCGTTTCTGTGCCTCACGCTGGGGAAGGAGACAGATTGCTCTCTTACAAAAGATTGACAGAATCAATGAATAAACTACTGTGGGCTTGTGTATGAAGGCCAAATAGCATTGCAATCATGTTTAAAGCAGAGAAAAGTCAAAAACCGTGATATGGGCCCTTTAAACTCCTCCACTTGGGGAAGGACCTCTCCACCCACTTGGAGCTCCATGGCCTCAGATTTGGAGGATCAGCACCTTCAAATCTCATCCCAGCCGCTTCACACTCGGCTGCAAACCGTCCCAGAGCCCCTCCGACTATAAATTCTGTCCATAAAGACAGTGAACAGAACTGGTGACAAATGGTAGCCTTGGCGGAGGAAAACATGCACCAGGAACAGGTCTGACTTACTGCCGGCGATGTGAACGCAGCTCTGGCTCCGGACCCCGTACTCCCAGAGAACCCCCAAAGGGACACTCCGGGGAACACGGTCGAACGCCTTCTCCAAATCCACAAAACACATGTGGACAGGTTGGGCGAACTCCCATGAACCCTTGAGTATCCGATGGATAGTATAGAGCTGGTCCAGTGTTCTACGGCCGGGACGAAAACCGCACTGCTCCGGTCGTAGTCTCCTCTCCAGTACCTTGGAGTAGACCTTACCGTGAGGGGGGGATTGAGAACCTTGAAGTATTCCTTCCACAGCCCGACAATATCCCCAGTCGAGGTCAGCAGCTCTCCACCTACATAATTTACCATTTGAATAGCTTTCTTTCAAAGTAAAAACATTTAATTGATCTTTGATTTCTACAGTAGTTCATAATATTCAACAGAATACTGGTAATTAAGCTATGAAAGTATGAAATCCACATAAGCTGATAGAGCTTGAGATGTTTTGTAACGCTGAATGGTAAAAACTTCCAATGTGGAGATGTGCAAAGCTTGGTGCTGGGATTACAGAAAAAGGGGGTTTGAAAGTATTTACCCATGTCATATGAATACTTGTGTGCATTTGTCACAGGTTCAAAAGTGTCTGTTGAGGGGGGTGTGATCAATAAAAGGCAAGAAGGTTAAAAAGTAGTGATGGGTCGTGCCGCGTCGGCGCTTCGGGGCGTGAGCCGAGAAATCCCTGAAGTTTTTATCGGAGCGCGGGCCGAAGCCTGAGTTGTTTTAGATGAGTGACGTCACTAATGACGTTTGAAGCCTCGGGAGCACAGGAAATGGAGCAATTCATGAAGTACTGCAGAAGATCCGCTCAAACTGTGTGTTTGTTTTGGTGATTAATCTAGTCAGTGATGGAGAGGGTTGAGGTATCAGCTGGTTGGCTCAATTGATAGGGAAGCAGGGCTGGGACTTGGGAGACCGGGGTTCGAATCTCACCGGGAGTGCGTCGATGTAAATACACGAGAAAGAATTTTGTCAGAAATGTTTTGGTTTTAAACAACTGATGGGGTCACAATCCCAAATGATATCCCCATTTGTGTCACGTCCTTTGAAAAGCACTTACACTTTCAACATGTTTGTTGTCCTATTGGATTTATAACATTGATTTTGACTTGAAAAGCTATAATCATTCATCATTAAATATGTATATAAATATATATCTACATATATGTATGTGTGTGTGTGTGTGTGTGTATTGATCATAATGAAACAGATAAATTAATGGGTCATACACAATCAAATTACATTTTTATTTCTGTTACCAGTATTAATTCCTATGCGCAAGAGCCTCACAAACAGTTCAATTGTCAATACAGATTTTGACCAACAGGAGGTTTGTGAGCATATGAAGCATCAAGAAATGAACCTTTTCTCGAACCAATGGATGAAAAGGTTCAACACTTCATGAAGCTTCACACTGCATGAAAAGTTAGATTTTCGTCACCCTAAACTGCAGGAAATCACGCTCTTTTTCGGGTATCTCAGGCAGTTTTCAGAAGGCGCAGTTAGGGTGCCCTGTCCTCCAAACTGCCGTATCCGTACCATGCTAATGTCCCTACTTTGCATATGAATGCAGCGAAACACTGCGGCCGCCGAGCGCTAATGGCCCTAATTAGCATATGAATGCAGCGGCTGGCCAGGCTGCTATTCAGCGTTGGTGAATACCACTACTTTCAAACTCGTGATTGGCTGAAAAATCACACGTGGCCAGCCCACGTGGGATTTACTCCCCATTGGTAGCTTACTCCCCATTGGATGAAATCACTACTTTCAAATAAGTATAATCTCTCGTGATTGGCTAGCAGATCTGTCACTATTGGTCACCCTGCCTCATAATTAATGTAATAATATTTATATAAATATTCGTATTATTTATAGAAGAAATGAAAATTTTCCAGGAATATGTTCATACAAAGAAAGCTTTATTAAAACACACACACACACACACAGCTTTATGCTCACACATAGGTAATTAAAAAATTACAACTCTGAACTGTCCAATAGCCTCCTCGGGGTTGTAATTTGGCAGGGTTCTAGATAGACGCTTAATGTGCGTGGCTCTGTACTTCCGCGCCGCCTCTAACCAGGACTGCAGCTTGACAGAGTTCAGAAAACTCCGGCTTTCGAAAAGACTGCGACCGCACAATCCATCCAGAGACACCGTCCACAACGCCTTCTTCTTCATTGGACATTAGGTCTACCGTGGCGGACTTCCAGAGTTCCACTTTGTCACTTTCTAGCACACTCAGTCTCGATTCCAGCGGCTGAAAGAATCAGTAAATATTATTAGCCAAATCAAATCCTTTTTCCCCATCTAAACATAGTGTCTAAAGCAGACCTGGAGATTCTTATCCATGCATTTGTCTCCAGTAGGTTAGACTACTGTAACAACAGCTGCAGTACATTCAAAATGCAGCAGCTCAAGTCCTGACCAGAACCAGGAAGTACGATGGTAAGGCAAGTTTATTTGTCTAGCACAATTCATACACTATGCAACTCGAAGTGCTGAGCAAAATAAGAAAGCATTAAAATAAATAATCCCAGTACATTAACAAAGATAAATATAAAATACCTCAGTTGTAGCACAGCTAAAGTGACAGCTCCTCTCTGACAATGTTTAAAACCAGGTTAAAGGGAGAAACAGTAAAACACTTACACACAATGTCGTCTTTATCAACATCGTGGAAATGTGGACTTATTGTTCACATTGTATTGCAGATATTGTGTTAAGCAAATAGGAGGTCACCGTCTCATTACGAGGCGAGATTAGTCTGAAAACAAAGTGTACAGTTATGATTGGTATCTATACATATCCATTACCGACACAAAACGTGTAGGTAAACCAAATTCAATTTCCATGGATACATTAACAATACTTACATAACCTTTTTGAGAAAATGGATCCTTCAATGAAGAAAAAAGTGTGATAATTCTAAGAGCATAGCTTTTTTTGTTTTCAGGAAGGCAATTTGTCTAAGGAGAAAAAAAAAACACTCATGGTCAAAGGACTTCATGGTTTACATAAAAAGGCTAAAATTAATTAAGTAACATATTTTTCACAGGGACCTAACCAAGAGATAATCAACAGGAAGAAACATCTACCTAGGTCATTAATAAAAAGAGATCAGATACTATTTATCTTTACAATGGGGGATAACAGTGGTTCAATTCAAGCGCCTCCTGTACTGGCGACCCCGCTCCCATCTCTGTGTGGAGTGAGACAAGTGCCCAAAAATTAACAATTGTAAACCGCTTTGAGACTCAGATCTGCAGTGAAAAGGCGGTATATAAATAAAAACTTACTTACTTACTAACATACCCATGTGTTTCACTCATGTCACTGACGAGAAGGTCGACAAGTTGTCTTCGAGAGCAGAGATCTCACAGTGATCTCACAGAATTATAATCTTTAAGGATCTCTCGGTCACCAGGGTTTTCCTGCAGTTCCACCATCTACAAACACGTGGAAAATGTAAAATGACAATCTACAATTGTACCAAAAATCTTAGGATACAAAATGCAGCAGTACCTCTTTTGCTGTGTACCTTTCTCCTTTCTCCATCTCCTCTGCTGTACATATGTGCATTTCAACACCAAACACAATCATATGTCATTTCTTTTTGTTATTGCTTTATGAACTTACAAAGGAATCGAGGTGCCGGACAATCTTGGAAAGCTTAGCGCCAGCAGTCCCCCTTTTGGCCTTAAAGAGCTTGATGAACTGTGTCGTTAGGCAATCCAATGCTTCAACGAAATCATTGCCCAGTTTGGAGCTGGTGATCTGGTTAAATTCTGCCAGGACCTGCAAAAAAAACAACATAAAACACTTCAAGTTAAATGCATAGATGTAAAAAATATGTACACACCTGTCTCTCTGTATGAAGTGCTGGCCAGCGCGCTTAGACATTTTCCACAGGTGGGGCAGAATTGACTATTTCTTGTTGTCGGACTGCAACACGCTGTAAGCAAAAAAAGAATAATCAATATATATAAAACAATATCACATGATTTTTGCTCAAATGTGTTTAAAGGAGGTCTAGATTCACTCAATAACATTATTAAGCAATGGACTTAATAAAAAAAAAACAAAAAAAATGAACAGAAAGACAACAGTGACAAATGAGATGAAAAAGTACAGTAATAAAAGTGAAAGTCTTAGCGCTCAAACAAAGACAGGAACAGTGCAAAACAAATGATATATGTTAGATATTCCACAGAACTGTAGTCCACAGTCTCCTGTACATCAGGCTCTGCCATGAGCCCAAACTGCTTTTCCTTCGGTTCTTTCGAAGCAGTCTGCTCTGTGCGCCTCGTCCCTGCTCCTGCAGCAGTTCCATGCTTTACAGAAAGTTATCACACACGGAGCAATCACATATATATGTGATATATATATCACATATATATGTGATAATATATATATCACATATATATGTGATATATATATATATCACATATATATGTATTATATATCAATATATATATATCACATATATATGTATATATATATCACATATATATGTGATATATATATATATATATATATGTGATATATATATATCACATATATATGTGATTCCTAGCTTCCTAGCGGCGGCGGCCCGCGTAGTTAGGGCCGGGAATATGGCTCTGAACATGGCTACAGTTAGCTACTAACAGCTCCATTCACCGCTGTCCTCAGTAAACTCCCGGAGGCCGGACAGAGCTCTCTCAGGCCTCCGGGAGAGCGGCTCTGAACACGGCCACAGTCACTGCATTCACCGCTGAGCTGGTCGAACACACAAGTTTTATAAGATAATATAGTCGAATGTATACTCGTTCTTAACACACTTCTTTAGCTTTATACCTTTATAACAATGAACAACGTGTCTTAACACTTACCGTACATTCAAAAGAGTCCTCTCTTCACGTTCCAGACCGCACCGTCGACTTGAGGCAAAGTATTTCGTTGCGTTTTGCGCATGCGCGAAATGCGCATTCAGTTTGTGAAGTCCCCATGTTTTGGTTGTGTAAAGAGAGTGATGATAACACCAACAACCGTTTGTGTATATACTGGTCAAAGTGCTTGTGGGTCCTCCGGTATGATACTCCGTCTGGTTGGGAGGCCACCAGCAGACTGAAGTCGTCTGCCAATGATTTGTGTCTGAAGGTCAGGAATGTAGTTGTAATCCTTTGCTTCTTTGACAGTGTGTACCCGATACCGTTTCGATTTTTTGCTGTACAGTCTCTTTAGGCTACAAGATAAGTAATTTCACGTTAGAAGACAACTATATTTATGACTTGTCAATAGGAAGTAGTGAATGATACTTACGACACTTGGCCTTTGCTGTACACATGTGCCGGACGGCTGTTGTGGTGATTGTAGTCCAAAGCTGCGAGAAGTGTTCTTGCTTCATAAACAAAAAATGAAAAAGCAAACCGCTTTCCAGCATACATCAGAATATGGTTTTGGAATGATTCCAGCTGTGAGGTGGTCCTGCAGGGAAAGTAAGTAGGAAATAGAAGAAACACAAATCATTCAAAAAAACAAAAACTGATCTCTTACCGAAATGTGAGGAACTTCTCCACATCCTTCAGCCATCTGCGGTTCAGCACGATCTGTGACAGTGCCACATGTGCTTTAGAGCCAGTTGGTACAGGCTCTTTAGTGCCATCATCCCCCAAAGGACCATGAAGGCATCTACCCAGGTCCCACTCATGCACGCCACTAACATGGTGCAGTACACCTCGCCAAATGTCCTAATAAGCAAACATAAGAAACTGAAAAGGTATAGTGAAAATGAGAAGATAAATTCTAGTTCTACTTTACTTACCATGAACTCTTCTCGGCTGCTTGCATGCTGACAGGCATACCAAAAATGGTTAACAATGTCCTTGATCCACCCAAGGATTTGTTTTTGACCTGCTAGGACACCCGCATATCAAAGTTATTAGTTTTGGTTATGTCTATAAAAAATAATTGAATGAGAAACGATATGAACTATCACTTACAGCATGAAGCCTCTTAGTTAGATTTTTTGCAGCATGCCAGACATCCAGGGAATGGGTAACTCCATGATCCATATATCTTCCCCATTCTGGATCTATTATAAAGCTCAAAAATGCAGTAAGCACAAAATATAGCACATCAAATAATACAGACAAAAATACTTACGCATGAGGGCTGCAATTTGCACATGGGCGTCAGTCACAATCTCTTTGACTTTTAATTCTTTCGTGAGATCATCAAATGTTTTGATGAACGCTGCCTTCTCCATAGAGACACTTTTTCCACCAACTTGCCTTTTATCAACATTGACAACACTGATAATGTCCATTGTGTCAAGTTCCATCGTTGTGTATGTGCAAAACGTTGCAGAATGACCTTGTTGAATCAAATATGGTGAAACACAAAGTAATACACAATAACTATGTTGTAAAGTGAAAGGCTTCAGACTTACCTGGTGAGTCCATTCTCCCGTCAGCTGTAACAGATATAGTACTTATAGTGACTGCAAATACGACAAAGATTGTCCTTTAACACATTACTTACCAAGGGCCACAATGCCATCTTTTGACTTTAATCGAGTTACAATAGACAACCTCTTCTGCTCCCAAAATGCCTTTATTTCAGGTACGCAGTAGGAGTGTTGAATTTTGTAATAAGTTGTCGTTGAAACCATCTTCATATTCATAAATTTGAAGAGGAGGGCAATCTTAGCAAAATTATTACCACTCAGTAATAAGTTGGCAGATAACATAAAATCGCCTCCTTGCATCCCATGTCGAAGTACAGGTTGACTGTTCCACATCCATAACTTGTGTCCATAAGAGCAGAACTATGGAGAAAGAAACAAATAACTTTTACTAAATGTATAACTACACATTTTGCCTACCCTAAATACCAATCTCTAATTTCAGCATTCACTCACCCATTCCAATATGATTGATGTGCCCCTAGAACGTGATTGAACCGAAAATGGAGGCCGACCGTCACACTCAATACCAGAAACCGGATCGCTGTAATGGCATTTGTTGATGGGCAGTTGCAGAAAATTAGCCATTTGCAGCAAGCTAATAGTATACGCTATGCATGCTTGTTGGTGCACTAGGTCAGTTTCAGCAACCACACGAATTGGCTTTGGGAATGTTGATATGTCCTGCTCAGACTGATCCTCAAAGTCCTCTGGTTCTCCGGGATTTTCTGGGTCACAGATGTCCAACACAGCTTCTTCTATGCCGAGGATGGGAAGATTGTCAACTTCTCTTTGAATTGCAACACCAGCACTGAAAAAAAGAACAATTTGATGCTTTTTCAAAAAACAATTAGGGAAGGACTTCCATTATTTTCAGGACAGAACATTTAATAAAAAAAACCTCAAAGATATAGGTGGGACATATTCCGAATCTAATGGATCTGAGGCCAAATCTTCATCAAACTCAATCCTGTGAAAGTAAACAGGTCATATTTTAAAACAATCAACAAAATATTTCTTTTTAAACATGTTAAGTAACTTACACACTGTCTTCTAGATTGTTTGCCCGTTTTTCGTTTAACCAAAGATCTGAATGTCTACAAAAAACAATAAATCATATAAATAAACGACCTAGAAATGAGAATACAATGTACATCTTAATGTGAATGCATGTCTACCTTTTCTCCAAAACCTCCACCTCTTTCTCCTCTTTAAAAGGCTGCACCCCTGCCACAGATAAGTCATCCCTGTTAAAAAATACAGTTTGTTTCAGTGAAATTGTCAATAAGGCTTGAATCAAACATAATGCCAATCCCATTTTTCTGGGAAAAAAAAGTACCGGTCAGATTCTACGGGACTGATTGAACTCGGGAGATCACCAGTCGCAGTAGTGGTTTTAGGAGTTGAGGCCTTGGGACTCCTTGATGCCATAATTTTTTCATAGCTATAAAGTAAATAAATACACGTTACCTATACACACATGCATCTCATTGTATTCCAGTTGGACTAACCACATTATATTACTAATATAGTCTGCAATTCTACGATACATATAGTACAGGTACTGAGGTACATAATCACTGCATCTGCAAGTTTCATAATGGTTTACATACACAGTAGCAGCCCAATAATGTACACAGCTGTACTAAGCTAACAGATGCTAACGTTCATTCAAAAGCACTAATCAACGTAACAGTCATTATTTCTAGACATTCTTCATACAGAACAAAAAAAATGCTGAATGTGTCTCGCCAATCTGTTACTGTTCAGAAAAAAACCGAACCAAATGGAATCAGTCCATGTTGCTAAGTCAAAAAGCTAACACACAATAATGCTATATCTCTTCGTATTCGAAGACACTAGGACGTTTAGAACTGAGTCACCGTCTTACCTTCTAATCAAGATAAACGCCAAATGAGGATCATTTTTTATCCCCAGAGCGTTTCGGAGACTTCTCCATTTCTCAAACGCATGGCCGAGAGCGACTCGGGTCTGAGCTCTCCGCCGGTCGGCCTCTCACTTCGCTCTTTTCGTAGCACTAGTGACAATTAGTGATGGGTCCAGCAACACTGATACACCGGCGCATGTGCCGAGTTCGTTTGGCGAAACCTCGTATCGGCCCGCGTGTCGCTTTATGAAAAAGCCACGTGACCGATACAGCCGCAGTGTCGCTTGTCACCGACACGGCAAACTGTGTTTAAAAGGTTCCGCATCTGCAAGTGTCACCGGTATGAACCGCTGTCAGAAAAAGAAAATAACCCTTTCAAAAAGGAAAAGCATCCCATTTTACAGCATAAAAAAATGGAACCTGCCACTAAAAGAAAGTATTCTGCAGTGTGATACTGCAAATAACAGCAAATAAGGCAATGTTTGTATTTCACATTTCACGCTTTATCTACAATCCAGATTTAGTTTGAAAAGCAAAATCTAGTTAGGCATGGTGGATGAGTGGATAGCGCTCTCGCCTCGCGTTTGAGAGAACTGGGTACGAATCCCAGTCGGACTTCAAAGGTTTATGTTGACATCACAGTCTTGAAGAATGATTTTGAGAAATTGAAGTGCAGAAAATGTCAAAGGTTTTTTTCAAGTATACTTTAGTTGCCATGGTTTACAGTGCACTTTGGACATGCTTTTATTGTTTTGAAAAAAAAAAAAAAACAAAACCAACATCACTCAATGACATTTTGCTTAATGAATACATTCACAACTATCACTTTAATTTTCACATAAAATAAAATAACACAGACAATGCAGTTACGTAATATTGTGTGCAGACAAGTATGTAAAGCTCATTGAATCAGTGAGTTGGATGCAATGATTTATCAGATCCACCAGGTGTCAGTATAGAGCAGCACAAGCAACACTGTTGCGGCACAGTATCAACACAGTTTGTTGGATGTGCCGAAACGATACGTGAGGTTTCATTTACCCATCACTAGTGACAATCTTTTTTCTCTTCGCTTGGCGTGGAGTTCCAGACGGTGATTCTGAAGCTGGTCTCTTAGAGAAACTGCTGGATCCATCTTCAAATACGCGTGATACGAGGACGGGACAGATCCACTGAACGCGAGGGAACATATGGAGCCAAAACAGTGAACGGGCACGCGCATTGCGTCACTTCCGCTTAAACAGCGCGCGAGAAAGCGACCAGAGTCAGGGATTTCTCAATCACTGTATGCGCTCACAGAAGCAACCACAGTGAATCTGCTAATGCTCAGTTTACACACCAGGCAACTGCTGATGGACCACAGATGCAAAATATTGCATTATGGCATTTTTTAACTTACGCAATGCACCTGTCAAAATTATCGTTTTGACTCACGTTAATTACATTTTTTATTAACGCGTTATTTTTTTTAAATACCCGCCCATTTATCCATAAGAATATCACTCAGAATGCTGCGTGTGAGATGGCCTGCTCCGTGGCCGCTCTGGTTGTTGTTAGCGGCTGTGAGTGAGTGCGAGCTTTGCACGGTCTGCAAGCATGGATCTAGCTATTATAATAACAGCAGCAAGCGATTGCTCCGTTCACATACTCAGCGCTCTGCGTACTGTATTCTCCCTGGTTCTTGACTGTCAGGCGCGCTCTGCGCACTGTATTCTCCCTGGTTCTTGACTGTCAGGCGTGAGTGTTGCTCGTGTGTGTCTTTGGGAACTAATTATTTTAAAATAGTCTCTTTCTATTGCAAGTTTTGTAAACTGTTTGTTTGATCAATGGATAAAAATAAATGCAATTTAATTAAATGGCACCTTGGCCTGTCTTATACCTGTTTGCCTGCAGGACAGTTCCCTAAACTAACATATCATACTAAAATAGGGTGGGGTTGTTGCAACAATTAATCTACTTTGAAGTTATCCTAAATTACAGCCAGCTAAAGCTCGGTACCACGACAAACGAAAAAGTAACGCAATAGTTACTTTTACTGCTAACTAGTTACTTTTATAGTGGAGTAACTCAGTTAGTGAGTCAATTACTTTTTGGTAGAAGTAACTAGTAACTATAACTAATTACTTTTTCAAAGTAACTTACCCAACACTGGTAATTATATTTGATAATCTCATTTAACTTCAATTGGAGTGGATTTGAAATAGAATGTTAAACATGCGATTAATCGTGAGTTAACTCACCATTACTATGCGATTAATCAACTAAAAAAAATGAATCGTTTGACAGCCCTAGTATATATATATATATATATATATATATATATATATATATATATATAATTTGAACCGAGAATAGAACACATCTTTCATGTCATGAATAAAAATAAAAAATCCAAACTTTTGGTCTGTACTGTACATACATGAGATGAGCACTTACACTTTCAACATGTCTTTTGTCCTATTAGATTTATTTAATTGATTTTGACATGACAAGCTATAATCAATCATGATCAAATATGTGTGTGTGTGTGTGTGTGTGTGTGTGTGTTTGAGCATTTACAAAATCCGGGTCTACGGTGTGCTCCCCCTCAACCCTGATTAGCATTTGTATAGCTCACAGCATTGCCATTTACATGTTAAAGCCTCCTGTGGAGGAGGAAGGAGGGGACAACAAACTGCCGAATCCCAGAAGTTTCACAGTAATATACAGGGCCGAAAAGAGACGAAAATCACACTTTTCATGCAGTGGTGGCAGTCAGAGATGCCACCCAAGTCTCATAGCACCAGCCCCTCACTGACCCTCTGCAGGTGGTGAGTCCACAGGAGGACGGCTGCTCTCTGAGTGTGAGCATAGCCTTGATCCTTGAAATTTGACCGTGTGAAAATGACAAATAATAACTCTTATTATATGAGGGTTAGATAGAAAAGACTGGACTTGTTTGTTCCATTGGCAAAAAATGCATTTGGGAAACTTATCTTAGAACTAACACAAAAATAATCTGTGCAATAGTTAGAATCACAACTCTTTTTATTGCCATTGTAAGTAACTGGGAGTCACAAACAAGGAATTTGTTTTGGCAAATTCCTTGTTTGTTATAAAAAAGTACAAAGAAAACAAATATATATGAAAGCAGGCCTAAAAATCGTATTCACAAAGATTACACAAATGTCTTTTATCTGGGGTTTAGCAAAAAACTGTCTTTATGACTATCTTTTGTATCTGCTTTCATTTTTGACAATGCTATTTGGTGCTTTTTTGTTGTTATAATGTATAATAAAAAAAGAACCTGAACCATTTAATTTCACCAAACAATCTGGCAACCCCCCAGACAGCCTCATTCTATTCTTTTCTTGGATCATCTTCTTTTTTTTTAAATCAATAACACTTAAAACTTTTGTTCAGAAAAGGCCAAATATGATGTGTACATCTGTGAAGATAAACAGTGAATGCCCTGGTTAGTACTGTGATGGGAGACCTCTGGGAACACAGGTGCTACAGTGAGGCAGCTGCGGCTGTAAAGTTTTCAACTGTTGCTGTGTGTTTCACCCTCTTCATATCTGGTAGCGAGGGGCTGATGACACAGATTAGTAGCCTCGCTTCCATTAGTCTGGCGGCACGGTGGCTGAGTGGATAGCACACTCGCCTCTCAGCAAGACGGTCCTGGGTTCGAATCCCGGTCGGACCAGGGCCTTTATAATTGGAGTTTGCATGTTCTCCCCGTGTCTGCGTAGGTTTCCTCCGGGTACTCTGGTTTCCCCTACCATTAAAAATATGTAAAATAGGTCTGGCATGCGCCTCCTGTTCGGCGACCCCGCTCCCATCTCTGTGTGGAGTGAGAGATAAGTGCCCAAAAATAACAATTGTAAACCGCTTTGTGACTCTGGTCTGTGAAAGGCGGTTTATAAATAAAGATTACTTACTTACTAGTCTGCGTCGATGGATTATTATTATTACTAGAGAAATATTTCAAGCTTTAATTTCGGATAATGGTTTACGAATACAGTTAACTATATAGATATGTATGTATATAGCCTTTTATTTATTTTGATTATATCAAATCAGACATATGGTGAATATGCTTTTCAAAAAATCATTTATTTCTATACTTCAGGTTCAGAATGTGGCTGATATGTGATATGTTAGGTCCAGAAGTCGAGTTTTGAACAAACTTTTTGAACAAAGGGTTTCCTTGAGAAACATGCTGTGTTCTTTAACTCTGTAATCTATAAGTGCAGTTATGCTTTTCTCAACTGACCATGACTAGACTTGGTTTGGTTACAGTCTTGTCGTTCCAGCGCTTGTATTATATCGTATTAATATGGTGTGTTTTGTGAACCTGTCACTGCTCCAACTGCACGGTTATGTAAGCTGCCATTTAGATACATGCTAGTGGTACAATTGCATCATTTGCATGTGTTGACGTGTGATTTCCCCGTAGCCACCAGAGCCAAGATGAGCATGATGAACTCCATGTCCCGCATGCGTGGCCAGGAGAAGGGCCCCGGCTACACGCAGACAGAGGCCATCCTCGGGGAGTCCATGCAGAAGTTTGGCCGTGAGCTGGGAGAGGATTCCAGCTTCGGTGAGCCTTCAAACGCTATGTGGTTGTCTAATGATGAGGGCTGAAATAAGGTAATTGATCAAGTAAGGTTCAAAAACTCTGAGCTGTGTGATTTAGTCTAAATGACATGAGACGCAACCGACTGAGTTTAAATCATACAGCCGCAATGCTCCTGTGGTTCAATCTGTGTAGAGCATGGTCACAACCTTCACACTTAAAATGTTAGAAAACACATGCATTTCTTCAGGTCCTCTGCACTCTCAAAAGCATGTTTTAGCAAAGATACTACTTTATAAAACAAGCAAAAGCTCAAATACAGCAGAAAAGCAACATTTTCCTACATTTAACTGATCAACATCCTGCTTTTATTGACCTTTAAAAGTCATTTTGTTAAACTTGCAAAATAAGATGTTTGTGCTCAGTGCTGTGTGTTACTATGGCGACCACTTAGGCAGAGATGGAGATGAGGTCAGATACAACTTTATTGATCTCAGAATGTTGAAGTGCACATGTCATATAGTGATATGGAACATTAGGTTTTAATCCACGGTAGTTTGCATTGAAATATTGGTCAACTGTACTTCACTGGGTCAATTAAGTTAGCTGAGAATACTAACAATAACTGCCCTAACAATACAGCTCTAGTTCCTTGATGATTTCTTTGCATGTTTTTGCTCTTGGTTAGTCGTTGGTTAAACCATTTATTGAAAAAGGATGGAACTCTCAGTAGCCTTTTGTCAACTTGAATCAAATTATTTTTGTAGCAAACAAAAGCAACAAAAATTGTCCCAAGGGCATATATGGAATTGTGAGCAAAAACATTTCTGTTGAAAGTATTCTGAATTGTTTGGCTCTGTTGTATTTGAATTGTTGTCCCACCATGCGCTCTGCCTCCCAGCTACCTTTGGAAGTGTCCAGGTTTAACCTGAAAACCAGAGGCGGCCAAGTCTTTCTGTGGCTGGACCCAGGCTTTGGAACAGCCTCTGTAGCAGATCTGCCGAGTCACTAGAAAACTTTAAAACACTGTTAAAAGAAAGTCATTTGAATTAATTAGACATTAACACATTGGCGTTTGCGCCTGTGCTTCTCTGCAAGGCCTGTGTTTGATTCCACCTCCAGTTCTTACTGTGTGGAGTTTGCATGTTCTCCCTGTGTCTGCTCTGCTTTCCTCTGGGTGGTCCCTTTTCCCGTACCACTAAAAACATGTACTGTGGATGTGGATGTAGTAAGTGAGTGAATGGAGGGTGATGAAAAACATGTTCTGCACACACCTCCAACATGTATTCATTCTTCTCCTTACTTCAATCATAGCCACAGATCCAATATAACTTGCATATACAAACCTCTCACACAAACATGAAATCCATCCCATCACTATCAGGCTGTAATTTGCCATGGTAATAATTAACACGATTGAATATCTTACTGCAACAACATTAAAGCAGTGAGAAATAAAAAAATAAAAAAAAAACGTTCAAAATACACAATAAAATGGGGGCCTGGACAAGAAACCACAAACCTCTGGTCGGTAGGTTAAATCACTGTCTTTTTTTAAAGTACATTTTTATACCGGTGTATATATATTCATGTATGTATGTATGTATGTATGTATGTATATATTCATATATGTAAACATTTTAAAGCGCTTCATGTGACCTTGGTCTGTGAAAGGCACAAAAAAATTACTTTCTTACTTACTCTTGAAGTTTATGATAAAGTAAACTTTGCTTTACTTTGCTTTCACAATGGGCTCCAATTTTAGTCAACATACTAAAATGGATCAAATCAAAAAGAAAAGACAATAATAATAATAATAATAATACCAACACTTTTTTTAAACAGAAAATAACTTGATATATAAAAAAAAAATTATAATTATGATCATTAAAAGTTACACAGATTAGTTTGAGTCCAACACTTTTCATTCAATTGTTTTCAGATTCTCCATACTGCTTGAATGGATGCCATACCGCCTCATATTTCCTTGCCTCCTTTGAAACTTCATTTTTAGTTTAATTCATTTTGATTATTTTCAAGCGTAGTCTTCACTATTTCAGCTAAAAAGCAGACAAAAAATGTTGTCTCTATAATCGGAAATTGGTGTGAAATTAGTCAGGAATTATGTCATCTTTTCCCCGGGACAAACAAATGTGTTATTGTTTTTGCTGGGACCAGGCCAGGCGCTAGTGGAAGTGGGAGAGTCCATGCGTGAGCTGGCGGAGGTGAAGGACGCTCTGGACATGGAGGTCAAGCAGAACTTCATCGATCCAATGCAGAATCTTCACGAAAAAGACCTTAAAGAAATCCAGGTAGAAAGAGTCCACCGCAGAGCATCGAAATAATACTTTCGCCGTTTATGTGTCGAAAGTCAGATATTCAAACTCTTCTCTCTGTATTCCTTCCGTAGCACCACCTGAAGAAGATGGAGGGCCGTCGCTTGGATTTTGACTACAAGAAGAAGCGGCAGGGCAAAGTGACGGAGGACGATCTCAAAGTCACTCTGGAGAAGTTCGACGACTCCAAGGAGATCGCCGAGCAAAGCATGTTCAACCTCTTGGAAAGCGACGTAAGTAAACACCACAGGGTTTGCTTTCTTTTGTGTCACATGCAAAATGAGAAGTGTCAGAGGACCGCTATACTTTAGGAAGGTGCATCTTGTCTTATTCTTGTTATTTTCTTAATATTTGTAAGTATTAATAATGCTATGTCTATTGGTCTTCTTCACCAGACAAATGTAGGATTGTGATTGCTGTGGTGTGGTTTGTGGTGGCATCATTCAGGAGCAAAGAATGAGAATGTTCTAAGCTCAGCAATACAGACTGAAAGTGGTTAGCCCTGCTCCCAAGTTCATTATTACGGTGGTTATCCATGCTGTTCAGTATTTAGGTTTGTAAGTGGTTAGCCGTGCTTCTAAGTTCCTGGAGTGGTTAGCTATGCTTCTAAGTAGGCCTGTCGCGATATTCAATAAATCAATTAATCGCATGATAGTCATAATTAGCTCGATCATTTTCCTGGCCGCGATGAAGTCCATTTGCATGCTTGTTTGTTTTCCCCGTCTCTCTCCCGCCTCTCTCTCGGGTCAGAGAGCCCCAGTCCCGACTCAGAACTCCGATATGAGTTTGTCAGCAATTATGCGTGTTTTATGGACTCTAAACTGACTGGAGCTAAGGCCTTTTTTTAATAATACTGCTGTTATATAAAGTCTCTGTCTCTGGACAAAGAGTATAAATGTACTAGAACTGTGTCTTCTAACAGTATTTTAGCCTCCTCTGCATGCTAATGGCATGACCGCACTGTCTTGTTTCGTGCAGATCGAGCAGGTGAGCCAGCTGGCTGCTCTGGTGCACGCTCAGGTCCAGTACCACAGTCGTGCAGCCGAGATCCTCCAGCAGCTGCAGAGCAACATTGATGAACGGTGAGGTGCCCTTCTGACCACAGGGCTGGACATTAACAAGTGTCCGGCAGTCGTTACAGTCTTTGTGTTTCGCTGCAGGATAAGAGAGACTTCTAATAAACCCAGAAAAGAGTTCATTGCCAAGCCCCGCACCTCCCTGGACCTAGTCATCAGCGAGAACCACAACGGAGGAATTGGCGGCGCTCGGTCTCCAGGTAAACGGAAATATCTGAGGAATTATTTTATTTTTATTTATTTTATTTTTTTACCATTTCCCGATAAAACATCAAATCAATGAAAAAATCTCTTCTCATTTTTGAATTGGAATGTATACTTTTATACATTCATCTTCATGACCAGAAAACTGTTTATTTGTGGATATTATTTTTCTGACGCATGACAGGGGTTCCATGTAGGGCTGAGCGATTTTTGGCAAATTATGTGATCTGATCTGACCAACTTTGAGATTGAAACATACAGGAAATAAAATATTCACAGATAGATTAATTTTGAGCAAAAAAACAACTTCCATTTGAGAAAATCGGTTAACTCATACACAGTAGTATGAGGTAACTGAGGTATAATCCAGCAATTCGAAAGATTTATGGCAGTAAATCTTTCATATGAGTTTGAAACATGGATATTTCTTACAAAATACTATACATTTGGAGTGGATGAAAAATGCAATAATATTTATAAAGAATGAGGCTCTCATTTGGGTTGCCATTTTGCTAGGTAACATTTAGCAAAAACAAATTCAAAACAAAAACTAACACCAGACAAAACCGTTTAAATCACCAACACAAATCAGAGAATCAACAGTTAAGAATTGCATCAGTACTCTATGCTAAGAAGCGACATACACACACTAGAGGATTCTGGCAACAAAAAAAAGTGGAATTGTATCTGTAATGACTTCATGAATAATTCCATTCTGTCCGATTTCCTAATAACGATCACAAAAATTGCCATACATGTTAGTGCATTAAATAGTGCATCCTGAGTTCCACATGCAATTGTTGGACACAAATAAAGAAATAAAATGACAATAATGTATACAAAATGATCCATTAATGTCACAGATGCAGGCACAAAAACACAATATGTAAAATAGTCAGGTTTTTGAAGAGCACATGGCACTAACCAGCGTCCCTCTCCGCTCTCCCCTGTCCTCTGTACTCTGTGTGGGCTTTGCAGGTGCCAGGTCTCCAGGTGAGATGGCTCATTCATGAGTGTTTCTCCATTCATTTGTTGCATTATCAGCTTTCATGGCCTTTTAAATGACCTCCCCTCCTACCCGCCCCCTTTCCCCATGTTCTTTGGTCTTTGCAGCAAGGTCTCCAGGTGAGCCTAGTGACCCCCGGACACATTGACCATCTCCATGTATCTGTTGCATCTCACATGTTCAGACATTTTTCTCCTGAACAGACAGAGCAAAGAACCCTCCACCAGCACGTGACGAGCAGGGCCATTTGCTCTTTCTGTTTTGTCCTATTCTTCTTTGTCTAACATTGATTTTTCTTTACTAAACTCCCTTTTTGATTTTTTTCCCCTATGTGTATCCATCATCCTGTGGTTTTGTTTCCATCCATCCCCGAGCAGATGTGCTGAGAGTATGTTTGACTAATGTGTTGTTTCTCCTCTCCCCTTTGCAGCAAGATCCCCAGGTGAGCAAGAGTGATCCAGGAGGGGGCGCCCTGTCTCCATCACTCTCATTTATTTCTTACACTGTGGTGGAAGTGTGTTTTTTTTTTGGGAACGCCCCTTGCAATGTCTTTTCAACGCAGTTTTTGAGTTGTACAGTCTGCAGTAATGTCTCCACTGCAGTGACAACCACAAGTTTACAAGATGTGATTTTAAAGTTTCTCACTCACTGAAATTCAAACAGTGGCTAAGAGCGAGACAGAGTTGTTCTCATGTGTACATTTAATTTTAATGATATGAAATTAAATGTGAAAGCCCCCTTTGGACTACTTGTTAAAAAAAACTAGCACTTGCAACTATGCATCTGGTTTGTCCAATGTTATTGTTATGGCTATATGAAATAAGTAATTTAATACAGAAATAAAGGTTCTGGATCATCATCACTTTCCTTAGGCCTTCCTGAATCAGCAAAAACCCTGTAGGAAGAAGTGAGAAGCCACGGGGAGGGATCCGCTCCCACAGAAAGACAAACTATAGACCGACCAGGACTCAATTCAGCCGACTCTGCTGACAAGAAAGAAATAAGAATAATACAGCTCTCTATGTAGTGGCGTTGAGGCTATTGGAAAAATGTTGGTGATAATAACTGACTTATAGCAAGTGAGAAAAGAAAATGACATCTGGTTTCTGTGAATCGTGTTGAAAAGATTTTGTATGATTACCCAATGCTCTCTCTGACAAGGGTTGATTCTGTTTAGAGTACAAAACCATTGTCTTTTCAAAGTCACAAAAATATAAAAGTGTGCTTACTTCTGTAATTCAATTCAAAACTTATATTGTGAAACTAACATACGACAGACTCATTACTCACAACGTGGGATGTATCGAGCCTTTATCTGCTATAATGTGCACAATCGGCTCACAGATTGTAAAAACCCCAAACAAAACATCTCAGAGAAGTAGAATATGTTGAAAATTAACTGTAAGCCATAATCGTCAACATTGTAACAAACAAAGGCTGCACACTTTGCATGTAGTGAGTTGTATGTCCTATGATGCTTAACATTTTGATTAGACAAGTTTAATTACAGAAATAAATGAACTTTAGAAGGATATTGTAACGTTTTCAAATGTCACTTGTACGTTTACCTTGGCAGACTGGGCTGAACATGTTTTGTCAAAGATTTCTAACTGTAACACTCTTTTTCTCTATATATTCAGTCTGTTTTTTGGATTGTGCTTTTGCTCACGAATCTCTCTTGTGTCTCTGTTTGTGTCTTCTGCGTCTGTCCCCTTCCCCATAGTAGCACGGTCACCAGGTGAGCGACTATGAGCTTTGCTGTCTCTCATTCTGCATGTTCAGTCCATTACTACATCACACCCTCCATTGGGATTCTTCTAATGCGTGACTTTGTGTGCAGCACCGATGGACCAGCCCTGCTGTCGTGCCCTGTACGACTTTGACCCCGAGAACGAGGGTGAGCTGGGCTTCAAGGAGGGAGACCTCATCACCCTCACCAACAAGATCGACGATAACTGGCTAGAGGGCATGCTGCACGGCAACTCGGGCTTCTTCCCCAACAACTACGTGGACGTCCTGGTGCCTCTGCCCAACTAAACCTGAGGCTGCATCTCTCCCAATCCACTCACCTTCTTACCGTAACATTCCTTTGAATCTCCCGGAGCTCCTCTGAGGAGTTCACCTGCAGCCAATCCACATGAGAAATGGAGACAAAAACAAAAAGCAATTGAGCCGTAAAACTTTTTGATGAAGAAAATGTGTTGTTGTTGCTTAACCCCAGTGTCTGCAGGATCTTGTAGTCCTCATGCGCTTCTGTCTCGGTTTCATGAGTTTATCACATGCACCGTACTGTACTTTGTGGAAACCCTTTTAGATAGACACACGCCAACACATACGCATGAGATTATTTTCATAACTTCACTTCTTTCCTTGCAACCATTGAAATAACTGTAAATACCAAAGTTACTTGCAAAAATCAGCGATGTCAGCTCGCCTTGCTCTTTCAACAAAATTGCAATCCTTCGTGTATGGACCAGGCTGTAATCTTAATAAAACTAATAATGTGTTACATATCTGAGACCGTGATTAGTGAAGTGGTTTGATCCAAATAATGGAGCGACTTAAAATCTGTTCATCTAGAATTTTTAAATTTCTGTATGTGATATGAAAATAAAGTTTTTGGCTCGAGATGCCACAACCCCTATAGCCTGGTTAGCATTTTGTAGCTTAGCTGTGATTAAGGAATTAGATGTAGCCTGCAATGAGCACGCCGTGGTCATGGCAGGAACAAGATGTTTAACAAATTAATGATGCAATTTATTCTTCTGAATCTATTTATTTTTTGTAAGAAGCTGCTGTTCACCTCCCTCATCACGAGTGTGTTGTGTGTTCAAATCCGCGCTTGTGAGCACGTGTGTGAGGTCGTTCAAAGATGGTGTGTCGAGGTCTGTTGTTGCGGCCATATGGTCCTTAAGAGGCGAGAAGAATGTTCGTTTAAGGTGACAATGTGTTTCATTTTCAAAATAACGTTAAGGTCTGGACATGAGACCCTGTACTATCATGTACAGTGAGTATTTTCAACAATAATACATTTATAACAGTCCCTCCCCTTGGCATGAACACGGCCAGCAAGATATAGGAGGAGAAATTGTGCAGCTTTGACCGTTGCCGCTTTCATGCGATCTCGGAAACTCTTGACATTTACGCAATCTTCCAACTTCCCAAATCAGAGATCCCATTTCAATGCCAGGCAAAAAAAAAACAACAGGCGCACTAACTAATTCATTTTGAAGCTGGACGGATCTCACCGCTCACAATTTGAAACACAGCACACCAGTATAATTTATAATTTAAAATATATTATTATTACCAGTATTAGTATAGATAGTATTATTAGTATACAGTAGTGTTAGTATTATTATCCTAGCCAGCCACATCAGTTTTCCTCAGTCTGCACACCCGGAGCTTTCGCAGGACCGCATGGCAGCAGCAATGGCAGCCTCCCTTTGATTCTCTGTGCGTATATTACTGCTAAAAATGAAATTGCAGTCTATGCTTCAGCGTCACGTGACAATGTTGAGTGTATTGGGGTCTGGCTGTTTCTATGGGGTTGCATAGTGTTACTTCCTACAGTATATATGCAGAAAACCTCTCTCAGTGAGGTCAATAAGCTCAGTTTACTACGTACACCGATAATACTCAATAGAAATGATTTATTTAGTTTTTCGATGGAAGCACAACTCGAATGCAGAGGTAGTAATAATAGTAATAACAGTATTTGGTGGTGAAAGGTTATGTTTTTTTATGAAGCGGTACAATCCCTTCCTTTTTCTTGTTTCTTTTATTTTTTCAAACAATTGTGTGTATCTTTGCCCTCAATGAGGACTGTACAGCTTTTCTGTGTTTGGGTTTTCACCCTCGTGGTTCTAGTCTGCAATTGCGTATCTTTTTTTTCTAAGTGTTACATATGAGTATTCACATAAACTAGATGTATATATAGACAGTATTATCCAGAAGCAATGTGAAAGGAGAGGTCTCTGTGCTGCACATTTGGCTGTCTTTTGGGTTGTTTTATGTTGAATTCTTGCATTGGTTTTCTCAGACTGTATGCTTGATGTAAAGAATCAAATGTGATGAGTCTATGTAATTTATTCAAATAAATATCAGGAAATGTTCTAAATATTAGACCTGCTTTGCTGTTTTCTTTGGACCAGTTTGTGCTTAATTGTTCTTCTAAAAAATGCAAGAAAAAAGGTGTTGTAATTAATAACCCAATGAAGATAGATTATATAGACTATAACATTAAAGGTCCTGCGATTTATGCACAAACTGGAACTTGTTTGTGCCAGTTGGAAATATTCTTTGCTTTAAGCTTACACTTTATTGATAAAATGGTAATTGGTAAAAACACCTCATTTTCTAACCACCAACAAATGGAACGATGTATAATAAAAACCATTGCTCTAAAACACTGTGGTTCTATCACCAGTTTTCACGTTCATGTATTTTTACCCCGTCACTTCTTTAGATCGGCTTTTTCAGGACCACCCTCACCCACTCTCAGCCTGAAGCATCAAACTGTGACTAACAAAGCTTTTTCTAACAAGAATGTAGAAGACAACATGATTTGTTCTGATTTGGTCTCAAATATCTCTCTCTATTGGAACAAACTACACTTATTATTGATACAGCGCAAAAGTTTTGTACTCCAGCTTTAAATAGTCCTGAATTCAGTGTGAGAGAGTTTGTGAGTGTGACTGTGGGACAACTAATGCATCTTTAGCTCAAGGCTACAATCTAAAGTGTGTGTTCATTAGCATGCACTGTCCTAACCAAATAAATAATAAATAAGGAATAAATATTCATGTCGATTGTGACTGGGTTAAACAAGATTAGAACAAGAGCTTTTGTCTAATTTCAAGGGCCAATTGAGAGTCTCTTTTGCATTTTTGTGTAATTAAAGCAATGTAATCTTGTTGTTGTATTCAATAAATTACATAGAATTACATATTTTCTGTTTCTCAGGAGAGGACCCCCCAAATATTATTTGTTATTCGGGCTCCTCTTAAGAGTTTCAATGATCTAATAATGTTTTTCAAAAAGCTGTTCAAAAGTCTTGCCGTTACGGCGATAATATTACACTGGTGATAGCACATTTATATTTCTGTGTACGGCTCATATAGTCAAGCTCACAAAACCAGTACAGCTATTTAAACACAGGGCTCACAGATTCAAACATGCCAGTCCTTAAAAAAATTAATTATCGAAATATAGGCTACGGTCACAAGCACAACCTACAGCCCTCTTAGCCATCTTGGATCACAAGATGTGATCCAAGATGGGGACCTATTCAAATCAATGGCTTGTGCTCAGTATAGCGCATGGGACAGCCATGAAAGATTAGGGGAACTCACCCATATTTGGGCATCGTCTGGTCCTCCCGGTTCTGTGAAGTGGACAAGCTCCCATGATGCTTTGCGTCAAAATATGCGCTGATCAGAGCGTAGTTATAGCAGGAAGAAAACAAGCAGAGTTTGTTGCATTAGTGTGGATTTAAAGGATTTAAGAAGACAAAAAAGTTCAGGACAACAAGGGACACTAAAATCTCCACAAAATGTGACCTTTGTGAAAGCTGTAGGTTCTCTGTCAGCTGAGGTCGAGCTGTTTTAGTTTACACTGAGATCTATGGGACATTTTTCTGGGAAGCCCACGTCAATTTAGTCTGCAGTACCACGGGTGCCCCCTGTGCCAATGGATTGGAATACCCTATCCATATATTATTATAGATCCATGGCCTAGGCCCAGAGCACGATTAGATTTGGGCTTTAGGTGCCGTGTGACAGCGGCAGGGCCCGGTTGCATTTCAACTGGATGACAAGGGACACTAAAATCCAACCATTATGAAAGCTATAGGTTCCCTGTCAGCTGAGATTGAGTTGTTCTAGTTTACATTGAGTCCTATGGGGAAAATTTCTGGTTCAACCATGTGAATTTAGTTTGCAGTAACGTGATAAGCCCCCGGCCCGTGGGTGCTTCAGCTAAAGGCTAGTACCTGAGCCTGGCCTCTTCCATCTACACCTGCGGACTGCCCCGCCCGACCCGCCTGGGAGTGCTTCGGTCCTGCACCGGACCTGTCCACGTTCAGCGGCCACTGGTCCACGTCCTGTAGCTAGCTTAGGTCCTAGATCATTAGCCTGTCCGTCCGGAGGAGCGGATCCCTTTCTCATATGGGTCTCCCTCCCTGTGGGTTTCCCTAGTGCTCCTCCAAGGTTTCTCACGTTTTCCCACTGGGTTTTTTAAGAGTTTTTCCTTGTCGATGCAGGAGGGTCTTGTTGGACAGTTAGTGTCCAACAGAAAGGATTGGTGATGATCAGGACACTTTAGCATTCTACAACATGTATGGACATTTTCTTCTGTGTGTGCTTTATATTCTTCATGTGTTTTAACTGTTGATTCTCTGACCTGTGTTGGTGATTTCAATGGTTTTGTTAAGTCCTCTGAGATGACTTCTGTTGTGACCTAGGGCTATACAAGAATTCTTCTTCTTACCTTTATTTAACCAGGAAAGTCCCATTGACGACACAAACATATTCTTTCTCCACAGCTCTTGCAACTATTGTTTTTGTTACACAGACTAGACACCGCAGCACACCCACATATAGATTGTTTTATAGGATCACTTCAATGTATGTAGTTTAGGGTGAGTTGGATGCTCAGTCCGCCCAGAGGCCTTTGGGGCGGGTCTGAAGTAAGGGCTGAGTGGAAGACCACCACATTTTTCATAATGTCACATGGGGTGGTTTAGGAGTTCACAGATCGTCGTGAAGACTGGGATTAGACTGAGTATAGGATGTAATGCTGGATCAACTGATGAAGATGGGCCATCTGAGACGAGAGTGATGGATGTCCGAAGAGTTCCTCTCCGGCCAACAGGGGGACTGTTGGAATATTAACTCCTGCACCAGTTAAAACTAAAATCAGTTTAGTATTGTTTCTGTTGCCAAATTAGCACTTGTTTGTGTAAATCTCAAAGAGCAGTGAGTTCAAGGTTAGTCTGTATGAAAAGTGAGAAAAACAACTGTTGTTATCAGAGCAGG